GAAGAATATATTATATTGAACTAGATCGGTTAAACAAACAAAAAATACATAGTTAAAATTGTCCCACTAGAAGATCATTCACCAACTAATCAACATTACTAATAAAAAAGCCAAAGGAAGTGAAGTGCTATGACCCACAAATAATTGAAGACAGAATTTCATTTTCTCATAAAGCAAGCAAGGGGAGCAAAATAAAAATAGAAAAAGATAGAAACAAAAGAATTGGGAAAAAAAAGGAAGAAGAAGAAGAAACAGACACAGATCAATGGAAGTTAAAACAATATCTTTTATGATGTAAAATCTTTTAGCAGCAAAATACTTGGCAGGACAGAAGAGTGCAGTGTAATCCATATAAGAAACTCATAAGACTTCTAGGAGATATGTACTCTAAAAGAATGAGCTTCTCGTGCTGTGTAGATCCCCAGTAGTACCCTCTCAATCCAACCACGTTTGGATGTCTTATATTTGCAAATCTCTTCGCCTCTTTAGCAAATTCCTTTCTTGGTTTTACAACTCCTTCCCTCAACCACTTCACAGTCAAGGACAACCCATTGTCTAGTGTTGCCCGGTAAGATGTCCCATGGCTGCTCCTTCCCAGAACTTCAGCTGGCACTCTCGATAATTCCTCAACTGTAAATGAGATTGTATCATCAAGAAAGTACAACTCGTCGGCCAGTCGATTTGGAGATCTGATATCCTATCCAAAAAGGCATTAATCATAGATCATTAAATGTTATCATAGACCATTAAATGTTTTCACATTTTAGTTTAAATGTTCAAGAAACCATTAATTGAATTACATAACTACAGCAAATCAAATATCCTTAGGTAAAAGTCTACTTTATGAGTGATTAACTTTGAATGTTGTAACCTTCGTAAGTTCGGTCCAAGTTGACTGAGCTTATCTTTCGATCCCCGGAGGTACAGTAGAAGGAAGTGGTTCGTAGCCATGTGGTCGTTACCTCAGTTCACTAGACTTTAATAACCGAATATGTTACCTTAGTTTTTCCCATTTTTCCCTGCTTCCTTGAACTTGACCAAGTGGTCCACTGCACTCAACATACCCCATTACAAACCACAAATCAAAAGAAGTTATAAAATAGAGGACAAAATGTATATACTCCATCCACTTATAACCGAACTTATCGTCATTCCTCAAATCAAGTTATGTCATCATTGCACTTTGTGTAATTTTCATTTATACAACCTTTTTATGGTCTCCATATTTTGATATTTCCATTTTCTTCTCTACGAAGAAGTCCACCAAGATTTGATTTTCTATTCTGACAGCTTCGTTTATCAGGTGGTTCTTCTTTATCAATTCTAAAGCAATGATTTTTTTGGAAGGTTTCTCAAATGGGCTATAAATATTAAATATATGTTGCTCGTCCTCCACCCTTAATATTAGCTCACTCTTCTTATGTCAATCAAGGTTCGACCCGTTGCTAATAATGGCCACCCCAATATAATTGGAATATCTCGATTGTTTGGTATATTCAGCATAATGAGGTC